GTGTAAGTGGTATTTACCTCTTTTAACACTTGACTAATGATTGTTTAATTACCCCTTAATGAAAATTATCCAGGACCTTAAATTAATAATTTTCTGAAAAAATGTTTGTATTAAGTAAAGTATTTAAGACAGCGGTTCTCAACCTTCTGGCCCTTTAAATACAGTTCCTCATGTTGTGACCCAACCATAAAATTATTTTCGTTGCTACTTCATAACTGTAATGTTGCTACTGTTATTAATCGTAATGTAAATATCTGATATGCAGGATGGTCTTAGGCGACCCCTGTGAAAGGGTCATTCGACCGCCAAAGGGGTCGCGACCCATAGGTTGAGAACCGCTGATTTAAGATATAGACAGTTGCTTGAACTGTTGAAATATTGATACATGGGTTACACTGCTCTCTCCTGAGTGCCAAAAAGATGACTAACAAAGAAACACTTAGCAACACAGATGTCTCAAAATTAGATATGAAAAGTTATTTTCTTCAAAGACAGACAAAAATAATTTATAATCACTTTATTTATTTTTTCAAAATACATATGAAACAGTAAAATTATATTTCAAGTGCTTTTCCATTTTCTTTTACAAAAGTAATCATAAACTGTACACTTCATAACAGCTTTGAGGTTTCATTGTTACATAATTCATCTGAACCTGACAAATATGTTCACACATTCTAAAGAAGACATTGTAAAAATACTGAAATGTGTACATCTTTTAAAGGTGGTTGCAAAACATTTGTTCTCAGGAATACAATTATATGCTGTCAAGTTTCACAAATGGCTGGTTACTGTGTACAAAAGCCAGAAACACGAATTTCAAACGATTTTAAAATTTTTCTTCTATAATACGGAAGTCAACGATATTGATTTGAACAATGGCTACGTATTACATCACAAAATTCAGTTAAAAAGTCACCTTATGAACAATGACTGAAGGATACAAAGCAGGATTAAATATGATGGATCCAAATTATTCAATTTTCATGGTTGCTGTCAGTTTAGAATAATTGGAAAATATATTGGATTATTCATTAGTGAAATCGCTACATTTACAATGTCAGGCAGTTTTTTTCTATTTTGACTTCTTCATTCTTCATAATAAAATGAAGGTCTCACTTCATTGTGATCCATAATTTATCTCTATTTTGCAGATAAACCAAATCACATTTTTCAGTTGAAAAGGTCAATAAAAAGTTAATGTGAATGATATAAACCTGGGTTGAACTTTTTGTTTACAAAAAATTATAAATGCAAATATTTTGTATCTGGTCTACTTGCTTCTTTCTTATACAGTTATAGAATTTATAAAGCTAGTCACACTGGGGGTTATTGTGATTTTTTAAAATAGAAAGCTTAGAGGGTCTTTTTAAAGAAAAAAAGCAAAAAGATTTATAATAAACCCCACAAACAACCTATATAGAAAAAAACATGCAATTTTTATAGTAAATGATTCTATGGCCAATTTGCACATAGCTTTAGGAATGATAGGGATATTTTTGGTTCACAAACTTTATTCTACAGCAAAATTCTAGTTAAACATAATTTCATGTATTGGTGTTCAAATGGAGAAAATTTTCTTTGAGAGACAGAAAAAGACAAAAATCCAATGTATTTATCTTTCAACGTTGAGACTTAACAATTTTGACTCATTTCCATAACACGCATTGTTTTCTAACAAATTAGTTTTTGAGGGAACAAAACATGAAATTGAATAATCGAAATCCACCAACCTGTACAGTAAATAGGGATTCTGTGCATAGCAGATGCAAATCACAACATAATTTCCAAAGAAAATGGCCTATTTTTACCCTTTCATGACAAGATCAGGCATAGTTTGCTCTTTGGAGAAGGTTCTCTTGACCCAGGCGAGCTTAGAAGTTATTGTCAGTTTGAGATGAAAGTGTTTCCATATAAATACTATCTCCATCTCTAGATCAGTCAATATCAAGTCACTTCCAGTGTGTCAGCATAGATAAAAAAAGGATTATTCTAATCAATTCCTCCTTGTAGGGGTATATTTAAATCATTTCAGGCAGGAAAACATCTGTTTTTCTCTTAAACATCTTCCACTTTTTCTTCCAATCACCATTTCTAGTATTTAAAATGTTGGCATTCAATAAATCATTAAATCCCATCTCAAACCTTAATTCACTGATTTTTTTAAAGTCTCTATGGCATGATATTGTCATCCCATCAAGTCAAACCCTGGTTACCTATCTTCATGATAAACAGGACAAAAATAAAAACAATTCTTTACTTTGATGAGAAACACTTGAACTGAATATTAGTTAAATGCCTCTGTTCAAATATACATATTTTTGGTGAACTGTTAATGGCAGAAGACAATGCATCTTTTATTAAATTACAGTTCACTCTAATTAATGTAGGATTGAGTCAATGTAGGAAATCTTTTAATGAAAGCGAAAATTCTTACTTTAAAGAGCATCACTGAATAACGTATTAGAAACAGCATTTAGTTTAATTAGCTCTGTTGCCTATGTAAAATTCAAATTCACTATTTTCTTTGCATAATGGGTCATAATAGGTTCAGATGAATCATATCCTGAGCCATGTCACTAACTAATGAAATACTGTGTCATGGGGTGCTGTTTTTGGAATAATATTAGAGGATTCACTTTCCATTAAAAGTTAAAATACCAAGGAGTTTTTTGTTTTGCATTCAAATGTGTTTATTTCCATATGCTATAATGCATTCGTTTACCACTTATTTATATAGATTCTTACTTTATTTTATGTACCTTGCTTTTGTATAATTTCTTATTTGCAGCAATACATTTTTAGCCTGGAAACTGAGTGTATCAATTGAAGTACCTTGGAATAACTGGAGTTGTTTCAAAAACAAGTTGTAAAGAAAACAGATCTCCACATTTTCACTTAGATTTAAGAGAATCTCTTTGTTACATCCTTATCAACTCTAGTTTTCTTTTTAAAATTATCGGGTTATTAAATTACCTGATCATAGTCACAACTAAGGTAGCAAAAAAAAAAAAATTCACATGGAACTCCAGTCTATGAAAACATTCATTCTGAGATAAAAATATCAAGTACTCTTTTTAAAGAAGTAATTTAAGAAATTACCACGTGTTCGATGTTAAAATTTTGTATCTTTTTATTTGTAATAGTCCTTTGGCTCTTTGGATAACTCATTCTGAAATAACTTACAATTTGTTTTATGGATAGTAAAATTTGATAAAACAGCGGAAGTTTGGCTTTTTCATTTTTGAAACAGTTAATCATTAAGTGAAAGCCTTAAGACATTGATAGTTCTTTATTGAGTCTGCAAAATGTTTAAATAATAAACATCACAGGAGAATAAACACAGGTGAAAATGTCAATTAAATATCACAACCAAACAGGTTCAAATATATTTGCTTTTATCTAAAACCTGAGTCAGTATTGATCAGTGTGATCTCCCTGCAGTAACTAGAACATGCACTCACTCCCCAAAACAGCATAAGAAAGTGGGTGCTTGGCTCTGCCTTCCTGTGTCTTATTCCCTGGCAATAATCTGGGTGAAATTTTCACTCAACTGTGAATGTATGAATATCATGAGTTTTGCATGTAAATAAAGTACCAGAAACAGAGCTGTTCTGACCAAAAAATTAAAATTGTCAAGAAAAATATTTTTAAGGAGCCAGTGTAAAAAAAAAAGTCAATTGTTGAGAATTCTGTGAGATTACATATTCCACAAACACTAATGCTCTTTTCATATTCAATTTCCTCATTCTCCTGATCACTTAGTGAATCAGGTAAAATAAATAAATAAATAAATGACCCCAAAAGAACATCATTGGTGTTGTTATGTGAATGAATCAACATTGGCTCCTTTTTCCTAGACTTAAGTTTGGCAAGTCCCTGAATAAATCCCTGAAAATTAGGTATTCATTACATACCTGAACTGCAACTTCATAATGTGTCAGTGTTATCATTAAAATGTGGTATCCCACACAAACTAGTGGAGGAAATCTGTAACATCAAACCTTATTTTAAACACATTTCACCTTCAATCACAAGTAGAAAGAGGATACATTCTGGTTGTATGAACGTGTGGCTCTGTAGAGTGAGGAGGTGTTGTATTGAAAAGTGGTGGGATTACAATTTTATAATATGAACTATCATTTTAAATGATTATGCTTTATCAATATGAGTGTAAACCTCTCTCATGTATTGCATGAAAGACGACTTGTGAATTTTCTCTCCTTAATCCCTCTCACTGGATTAACAAATCCTCTGGCATCACAGAATTAACAAGTCCTCCGGCATGCTGAGTTTATTTTAATCCATGGGAAATATTTCTTAAAAATTATCTTTAAAACTTATTTTAATCTACAATCCTGTTTGGCTGATGGCATTTTATTTGTCATCACAAGCACTGGCTTTTTCTCCATATGGGGCAAAGAAAAGCATGAGCTTTAAGAATGAGTATACAGTCCTGAAAATGTCTTTGCAGATGAAAATAATTATTACACTCACTTAGGAAATATATTTACTAATTAATCGTAAGCTGCAGCTACATCTACTAATAAAACAAGTGCCTCCAAAAATGTCATTTTATTAAGAGGATAACTTGTCTTCCCATATGACAATTGTTATTTCCCAGTAAAATAAAGAATTCCAAAATTCGAGTGTCATATTCAGTGATTCTGTCTACAGCAATGATTCTTTTAGGCTTGATAAGATAGCCAGGTATTTTCAAACAGGTTTCTTCTATAGTTTTCAATCAGAAAATTTAGCTAGAAATACTCGTTTTCATTAGGATGGTAACACGCATTTGAAAAATTTTAGGAAATTGTGTTTGCCTTTATAATGTTAAAAGTGTAAATTACATCTTAATGAACAGTGATGCCATCATTATGAGAGATGCCAATAAACAAAATTTCAAGTCTTTTAAAACTTCTTATTTTTGAATATTTAGAAATATGGGATAAAAATTTTATAATTCCTAATATAAATTTCTCATTTTGATGAAGGTGTTTTAATATATTAAGTACAGATTTTCTTGCCTTTTTGTTGTATTCTTTTAACCTACTATCTTGGGATAAGCTTGAAATATGCACTATCCACAGTACAAATCTCAAAAGCAAGGTTGGGTTGTTCAATATAGATACCTTCCAAGAGGACCGAGAAGTATGGCAATAAAAAGTTGATATGATGTAAAAGAAAGTTCTGTCTTGTAAAAACGTTTGCATAGTTTTTACCGCTAGTGGCCTGATCCTTGATCCTTATTTAAGGCAAATGCCTTTTATGAAAGGACTGTGGGTCTGGGCCGTCAGAATTTATTTTTATTAAATGTTGAAATTGTATTATTTATGGTATATTTCTATAATTTGCTGAAAAATAGGTCATCCTTTTCTTTAAGAAAATACCCAATTTTAACAATTAGCTTCTGATTGGGTTTGAAAGTCACCAGTACTGTGTACAACCTAAATGACAATGAGCACAGACATTTATTGTACCTTTGGTGTCTGTTAGTATGGTCTGTCAGAAACACAAAATCTACACGAACGCTTCATGTCACAAAATATACATCACAGTACTTGAAAACCTTACGAACACAAAAAATGAACGAATTCTAATTCTATTTATTTAGGAATACTAGTGCTACATTTGAGATTAAGATTATTAGAATTTTAAAGTATCAGTTAAACAGTGTAACAGATGTGTGAACTAATGTAACATTAAGACGGTATAAAATGGTAGCCCAAGTGGCTCAACCTCCACTTTCCAGCTACTAAATATTACTTTTTACATTTATATTCAAAATGTTTCTTTAAATTATAGCTTTAACTGTATGTTTTAAACGATAAGCTTGAGAGACAACGTTCTGAGTTTAGCAGAGCCAAACCTCATCAAGAAAATAATTTACTGAGAATGAAAGATTATCAGAAAAGTAACATTAATTTGATGGCACAAGGATTTAATCCTGTGCAAATTATGTTCAAAATTTCCATTAAAGCTTATATAGAAATATGTGCATAATGAGAAATGAACAGCTTAATAAAATCCAAACCATACATATGTGACGTGCTACTTTCTATAATAGCAGCATAGACTATATTAAAATTTAGATAAGTATTGATTCTTTTTTAAAATGTATTTCTTTGCTTATGCAAAGAATTACAACTTAATAAAACAATCTGTGTTAATAGGCATGTGACAAGAAGAATAAAATGCCTCGTGGAAGTAAGGACTATCTGTTTTCAAGTAAAATATATCAAGATGTCCAAAGTTAATACACAGACAAAAAAGTAAATGAAAAATTGCACAAGTTTATCACCAGTATATATTTTAAATGAGGAAATCAAACCTTCTGCTTTTTTTCTGATCTGATGAGCACATGTCCTGGGTCCTCATGACAATGATCTTATTTTGGAGGCATTACGGTGTGGAAGGTGGTTTGGGAGATGAACAGGATCCTTGACTATCAAAACTGTTCGCCCGGCCAGGTAACTGAAAGACAATAATTTCATAATGTATGACCTAGTATAAAAATAATAAAGTGGGTAATTATTGCTACCTTTTTAAAAAATATATACTTTATTGATTTTTTACAGAGTGGAAGGGAGAGGGACAGAGAGTCAGAAACATCGATGAGAGAGAAACATCAATCAGCTGCCTCCTGCACACCCCCTACTGGGGATGTGCCCGCAACCAAGGTACATGCCCTTGACTGGAATCGAACCTGGGACCTTTCAGTCCGCAGGCCGACGCTCTATCCACTGAGCCAAACTGGTTAGGGTTTATTGCTACCTTTTATTTGTTTTTTAAAAAATTATTTTTATTGATTTCAGGGAAAAAGGGAGAGGGAGGGAGGGAGGGAGGGAGGGGGAGAGAGAGAGAGAGAGAGAGAGAGAGAGAGAGAGAGAAACATCAATGATGAGAGAAAGAGGTAGAAACATCAATCACCTGCCCCCTGTACTCCTCCTATTGCAGATCAAGCCTGCAACCTGGGCATGTGCCCTGACTGGGAATTGAACCTTGACCTCCTGGTTCATAGGTCAACACTCAACTATTAAGCCACACTGGCCGGGCTGTTGCTACCTTTTAACAGTGAATATTCACTCATGATATGCAAGCCTCTGAAGAGAAAATATACATAACGCCCCCTGCCCTCCACACTCACCTCCTCAGGGCACATGAGAGGACACAAATATCTCATAGAGATGTAGGCAGGGTGTGGTACACAGATGGTATGCAGAGCAGCCAGGCATGGACAACTATTCCTTTCACGTTCTATGACAGGTGCTTAGTTCTTATTGTAAAGTAATTATTGGTTTACTGTAATGGGGAGGGGGCAATTGCTAGGTACAGGTGCTTAGTTCTTATTGTAAAGTATTGGTTTACTGTAATGGGGAGGGGGCAATTGCTAGGTAAATGCAATAAGAGATTCTAGACACAAGAGACTGCATTTCACTAGCTCTAAAGCAGGAAGTGACTTTTATAGGAGCAATTCATGAGATGACAGGGACTAAGTTTGGCAAATGGGAGCCACATGTGACGAAGAATAATTTCTCTCAGTCCCCAAATATTATGTGTATTTTAAAAGTTTAGTTACAACAGAATAAATTCGTGATTATCTGGTAGAAGTAACCAGATTTTCTAAATGATGCTTTAGTCTCTGTCCCACCAACTTACCCAGCTCTTGAATTGTTCCCTTCTAATTTTAATTCTTTTTCTGGCAACAAAACACATAATTACACACACATCACTTTCCCACAGCGCAAAATCCAGCCAGTTCATGGGTCTCTAGTCCATATGTTCTGTTTGACCATTGAATGTAGGTACAGGAGTTGGAAAAAAGGTGCTGTTTGCTGGAGAATGTATATTTACATAATATTTTAGTCCACTTGTCCTCTGATACTCCACTGCTAGAAAAATATCTGGGATCTTCTGATATCCATATTGCAGCTTATTTTTCCTGTACATCCTACAATGACTGACACAAACACATGCCTAGTCCATAGCTCCCCTTCATCAGATAAATGTATAACTGCTTATTAAACAGTCATATGTCATTATCATATGCCCTGGTTGCACAACATATGCCCTTTCATTAAAGTTCTTGCTCACGTTACCTCATTTCTCCCTACATAGTGCCTGTGAAGTCTGAGGGGTATGCATTTCCATTTTCATTAACTCTGGAGAAATGCAACTGTAGGCAGAGTGAGTGGTCTGCCCAGGATTATCCAGCCAGAGGAGCAAGGATTAGAATCCCCGTCTCCCCTTCAGTGTGGTTCTCTGCCCAGCAAATTTTACTCCCATGTCTAGATTCTTAAAATTAATATATACTTTGCACCCAGCTAGTGTGAACCAGGGATCACTGGTTTGATTTCCGCTTGGGGCACATGCCCAGGTTGTGGGCCTGATCCCCAATGGAGGGTGAGCAGGAGGCAGCCCATTGATGTTTCTCCCTCTCATCAGCCTTCCTATCTCTCTATATCTCTCTATCCCTTCCCTTCATCTCTCTCTCTTTAAAAAAAATCAATAAAAACATATTTTAAAAAGAAAAGAAATTAATATTCACTTTTCAAGCCTTAAGTAAAAACAAAGATGAAAACCAGGAAAATGATCTTAAATGTACAATAAGCAGTAGAGTATACTTTAGACAAAAACACTGTTGAAATAAAATACAACCTTCCCAAGACTCACTGAAATATTTAAAGGATATATTGTCTATCTTTCTGAACCACTCTAGGGGAAAGTGCTGTGCACATGTGCATTTGTGTAAGTGTCTGACTTTTAAATGATGATGTGAGGTAAACATGTGAAACACACATATATAAGCAGATATCTTTGATGGCAGTTCACCTCTGTTATCTGGGCATGCAATATTCACACCACATTCATCCAGTTTTCTCTATCATGTCCTGAGTAACATGGCCAAGGTCACATTTTTGTGACTAAGCTAAGATTAGAACCTGAGCCCATTGACATTTAATAGTTAATTACACTGCATGCAGTGCCAGAACAAGAAGCAGAATCATAACCACAGCGAGACAGCAATACATCATCTACTTACCATGTGGTTATCGTAACTGTTCTTTTTATTGAACTGTATAAATTCCATCATCTGCCACAAATCCTTTTGCCAACATGCATCACCTTTCAGTTAACTCGGCCATATAAGTGACTTACTCTGTGACTCTCCCAGAGGTTCTGGCAATTGCCTTTTCATCTAGCAACATTCAGTGTTTCCAGTAGACTGACAATTAACTTTACAGCTAAAAATCCTGATAGAAGCCGGTATCGATATCCATTCTGGTTAAATAACCTATTATTATAATCAAAGCTAACACTGCGTCACACTCAGGGCTAAGAATTCAACATTCAGCATTTTATTTAGTTTTACTCTCTCAGTTTACTACTATTACAGAGTCATAGCAGAACTTAGGTTAAAGCAACTCGCCCCAAGCTTCTCCAATATGTAGTCACACAGCACAGGCACGCTTTGGCCTCAAGCAAGCTGACGCCTCTATATTTAAAAAATCTGTGAGCACTTTTACTTCCTGGCCAGAGTTGGGGTAGATATACCTGTCCTTTTACATAGCTGAGTGGTATTCATTGACAGGACCTCTAGTTAGGGTTTCTGGAGAAGTTTAGGTGAGGTGGCAGTTTTCACAAAAGAAAAGCACCGACATTCCTTTTCCAGTTAGGAATGAATTGACTGGAGCGCCCCACCATTCATTGATGTAAGCTTTCCCACTATGCAAAGAAAATAATAGACTTGCAGTTTTTAGGGGCTTACTGTCCAGAGGAATTTCAAACCCAGAAAGTTGAGTGATTTTTGGGAATCCAACAAGACACACAGAACTTTGAATACTGGATGACAGCGTCTCTGGGGCAAAGCAAGAGCAACATCTGTGTGGTGTTTTTTTAAAAAAAAATAGGTGAATATATAAAACATCAGAGAATGGTTAGAGATAACATATTTAAGCAAAAGAGATTTTAAATAGAGAGTAGGTGTCAGGGAATCACGCTCACCTCCAGCAAGGGGTGCCAATGTGTTATTGGTTTTCGGTGATAGGCCAGCATTTCATTCCAGTGGTCTCGCCCAAGGCCCTCAGCGTCCAGTCCTGTTCTACACACCCCTATGACCTCATTGTGTCCTACCCTGCAATTCAGAGAATGTTACATTTTCATTTCCATATTCAAAGATACATGGAATTTCACACATCTTAGCAGAATTTTAAACATATGATTAAAACACTAGATTTTGTGGCAGGTTCTAAATGATTTTGCAAATCAAACTACTTTAGGGCAAGTTTAATAATCTTAAGCAAACTAAAAGTTACTAAACAGAAGCAGCATTCAAAAATGAATTTGTAAGGGTGCACATACAAACCATTTTAGTGCTCCGAAACTTGAGCACGTTGCACAATAATAGACGTAATGTGAATGAGGAATGCCAGCTGGTCCTTACCTATATGATGAGTTTCTTTCTTGGAAGCAATCCAATTAACATTAAGTGATGTGAATCACAATCTTGTTCCTTCCACAAGGCTTAGTGTTTTGTAATGATGCTCATATTTCTCACCAAGACCTCAATATCCACTTTTTTTGGTATAAATGACTATATTTAATTGACTCTAAATGATATGTCAGTGAATGTTATACTTGTACTATAATTAAACAGGGCAAGGCTATGTTCAATACCACAGCACTTGATTTATCATTGCATAGCAGCAGAGCATACTGAACAACATTCCTACTTTCCATCCATGTCCTGTTTTTACAGCAACAAATCAAAATAATAATGATGGTTAATAATTTGGGAGCTTATTATATGCCAAACACTGTTTTAAATAATTTAAAGGTACTGCCTCACTAAGTCCTCCCACCAAGACAATGAATATCATCACCATCATCTCATTTTACAGACAGAGCCAAACACCCAGAAGTGCAGGGACCTGCCTGCCTTTACACGCTTAGTAAAAGGTCGAGGCAGCATTTGAATTGAGACAATGGATGCAAGGGTACAAGTGGTTAGGTTGCTTCTCAAGAATGGAGTATAATTTAAAGGCATTTGTAAAGGTTATTTTGACAGACATCTCTAAGGAGACTTTGAGATGATTTTTTAGGACATTTCATTACTTTCTTCCTGTCATTGATATTGATTTTTATGTTTACTATCATTTTCCTCAATATTAAGTTTCCCAAACAAACATACTTTTAAAAATAAGTTTTTTTGTTCATCTTCCTGTTTTGTATATTGTCAAGATCCATTTCCCTAAACTTGTCTGAATGACAAATTCTCAACTGGATCTCCCTGCAATCACTGTGGTGAGAAATCAATAGGAGTCATGTTCTTGGTAAAGCAGGACAAGGGCTACCAATGAAAACAGTACATGTTTAGCTTTTGAAATTTCAACAGACTGAAGAGCACTCTCTTTCTTAGGATAGCTTTCTTTGTAAACTGTGATATAATTTAATTTCAAATATTAGATGATACATGTCATTTTATTTTTCACTGCTTCATTTTGTTAGCTCTGAGCCAGAAGATAGAATATTAATTTCTCAAGGTCATAGGGTCCTGGTTACTCCCATTTTCATGGTCCTATACAGATGACACTCTTTTAAAATATTTATATATGTGTGTTCCATTCCACTTGTGTTATTATTAGAACAAAATAAATTTAACAAGATACTGTCTATTGCTGATAATTTTGTAGGTTAAACATACAATAGTCCTTTTCAAAAAGAACTTATAAATATGAAAAGCAAAACAATAGAAAGAAGTATAGAGCAAGGACCAAAGAAGAGTTATGAATGTTTAAGGTGGAACAAGAGTTCAGAGGAAGAGGAGGTGGGTTAGCGGAGAAAGACACAGAAGTGGTGACTTGAGCAGGGCTGTAAGGCATGGGTGGGATGAGACACACAGAGCAAGGTGATACTATCTCAGACACGGGAAGGGTGGGAAGATAAAGGTAAGGGCTGCAGTAGGAGGAACCTTCAGAGCTGTACCTGGGAGTTTGCAATTTCTCTCATGAAAGGACAAGTGACTCCGTGTGTGTGAGCTGGAAGAGCTGTCCACAAAGCAATGTTTTAAGATAGATGTCAGAGCATCAAGGCTGCATTCCTATGGCCACTATTCAACTTCTCCTCTTAATGCTCACTGTTCACAGTTCCATATTATGCTGATGTTTTACAAATGGGAAAAGCAAATCCCCAAGAGATTGCATAACTTTCCCTTTCACACAGCCAGTTAATGATAGAGCTCTGATAAGAATCATAATATTCATGTTCCAGCCCAGTTGGGAAAACAAACTCCGTTGATTTTAATTGCTGTTGTCACTGTCAAAAGGCTTCACACAGTGCTTTCTATAATGTGCTCCATACTGCGTCTGTCTGTACCCATTCTTTCACCAGCCCCAGGTGTCCCATTCTTCAACTTAACAGTGACTTCTTTTGGAGAAGAAAAAAAAAGAAAGAAATATTATAACATGGAATAAATGAGTTTTGAAGGAATAACGTTTTCCTCTTCCAATTGACATTAAAACCGCTATAGTGGACTATGGGTTGCATATAACTAAACATGACTGTTGATCAGTGAGTACACAGATACACGTACCTGTCATAATCCATGACCGCGATGGAGAGGCTGACCTGCTCCACATTCTCCGGAGGGATGTCAAAAATAATGGCCTCATTGTACACAGGGTTTAGAGTGTTTTTCTTTGTAGTTGTTTTCCTCTTTTTTAATCTTCGACCCTCACACATCAGAGACACTTTGACATAAGGATCTAGGAGTGGGAAGGTCATTTTGTTAAAATAAAAGTAATGGTACGAAGTAGAAATAAAATTGCTGTTAATTGTTACCAAGAAAAGTGGCATTTAAGCTATTTAGTATTACCAGCTTTAAATTCAAATGATTTACTTGGGGGCAGTAGACTCTCTAGGACTTCTTACTTTAAATAAAAGCATTTATCTTGAACGAACTAAAAAATAATTAACTTGATCTCACTATTCGTACCATAACAGAGAAAGCTCACTCATTTCTCAAGAGCCAATCCAGAGCTATAATGTCACAGCTATTTGAGGACACAGCTTGTTAGAAGTGATTTCTAAGGAATGGAATCCTAACAAGTAAGGATAATTATATTAAAGTTAATTTCTTTCAAAATAATTTATAATAAGAATACTAAAACGTATGAAAGAGCAACACTATCTAGACCAGTATATATAATCACAACAAGTTGAAATTAGAAAGCAACAACTACAATAGCTGGCATTTTCTTCAATCGTTGGAAAACATACTACAATCAGAGGTCTCATTTTAATCATAGCATTAGTGCTTAATAAAGAGCTCAGATTGAAGAAATGATTACTACACATAATTATTAGATGCTCAAGAGTATACAAAAAGAGGGCAATATGTGCCTTAAAGATGGCCACAAGGAAGGTTTCTGTTAGGGCATTGTTTATATGATGCCAACTGGAAAGAGAAAAATTTAGTTGGGTTATATTTTTAGGGCCAAGGGATCTTAACAAGTTCTGCCCAGCTGATTGTCTCTACTGTCTTACTCCTGACACCTTATGTAGAACAACTGTTACAGTACTATAGAAAGTTATGTAGTATTACACAAAAGTTTCTTTAAAAGCCTTTATTTTTTTATAAAAAGGAGGCATGGCTTTGGGAAGGGGTGTTGGCATGGTAGATGGTTAAAATAATCCATTTCTAAGCTCTATCTTTATGTTTTTATTTTCTGGTCATCCTCCAACTATAGCACCACCACCTTTTCTCTTTCCACCAATGTAATAATACATCTTATTTCCTTAGAATAGGCCAAAATGATGGCAATATTAATTTAGTTGGGCAAATTAATGTTTTTTGAGCTCTATAAAAATGTATCTATGTATTTTATAAGCATATCCTCCAAGGGTTAAAAACGTATTTTGTGGCTAGAATTGAGGTATGGAGAAGAAAACAAGGTGAAAGGACAATGTTCAATGGCTGTTTTCCATTTATTTTTATTTATTTATTTTGCAAAAAATAATAATATATATGTATATATTAAGATTTTTCAATAACTGGAAATATGTTCTAAGGAAGAAGCTCATTTTTGTGATCTATTTTTGTGTGTGAGCCCATAGGCCTAGGCATTTCATTAACAATGGGAACAAGCCCTGATTTATCCTTCCATGCCCCCATCATGTCTCTGATGACATTTCTCTACTCTACTCATGACAAGGATAATTTACCGGCTCCTGAGTTGATTCACAAGCCTTTTGTGAGAATTAATGAGGTGGTGTTCTCAAAGCACGCACTCATCTCATAAAAAGCCTCATATAAATAAAAAGTAATCTTGTACTTAATTACAACTTTGATGCTGTTTGCTTGTCTTAAAATTTGATCTCTTTTGATTCATGGTAGAAAGAATAAACAATAATTTGTGAGTACACTGTTTAACTGAAGTTCTTCAACATTTGTTGACCCAATAATTTTTCTTGGGTTAATTAAAAATAAATGTGGAATTTACTTACTTTCTTTCTACATTTATATATCAACTATGTATTGCAAATTTAAAAAAAAATGAATAGGCCCATGAACTCAGACAGTGGGCTGGTGAGGGCCTGGGGTGGGGAGCGGGAGTGGGCTGTGGGGGGTCAATGGGGAAAAAAAGGGACATATGTAATACTTTCAACAATAATGATTAGAAAAAATAAAATAAATATGAACAATAAAATGGCAATGACATAGTTCAAAAGTCAAGTTGCTAGAAAAGGATGTGCAATAAGAAGTCTCCCATCTGTCTCCATACCTCTCAACTCCAACCCCAATTTTTTTGTGTACCACTCCAGTATTTATGCAAATATTAGCAACATGAACATATACCCTAAAAATTCCCATTCTTACATAGAGGGAGCATGATATCCATACTTACATTTGCATCTCATTCTTTTAATTTATATACTAAATGCTGTCCCTCTTTCCACACTAGAATTTAGAGTTTACTCAGGTTTTTGTAATGCAAATTTAGGGGGCATTTTTGTTCTTAAGAACCACAACATTATAAATTGCCCATCCCCATGTCATACTTTACTGTATCTCCATTACTATTTGTTATTTCTGTTCATTTCAACAAATGGTTACTGACCTCCCTACTCTGCTCTCATTTTTCCTCCCCCAGAGTATGCTAAAGGTCACATATTCAGTTATAAATAATCCTCCAGAACTGCAGTGATATAAGTGAAGGGATAAAAGAACGATGTGGCTTTAACACTAACAAAGTTAGCACACACACAAAAATTTCCTTCAAGAATGTTTTTAAGAAACTTCAAGAAGCATTTATTTATTTTATTTTTATTTTTTCTTTCCATCCCTTAGAACATACTTCCAATTATTGGCAAATTTTTAGTTACGTAGTAAGAATGCAAATGCAAATGGTGGTCTTGAAACCTGGTTATTCCTCTGCAGATCAGGTTGGGAAATAAATTCAGTCTAAATATGTTTTCAAGTGGCCCCCAGTCATAGACTAATGCAAGTTCGAAGTGCATGCCTTCAAGTCCAAGAATCTTCTTTTATAAGCAAGTGATTAGCTGAAAGTAAGGAAGTGGATGGTAAATCACATACTTTTCAGAAAGAGTTAATCAGTAGAGGAAAATATAAAAATAAAAACCCAAGTTCAAAGTCAATCTATTTGGTAATACCTTTTAAAAATTTTGTGATGATAATGCAAATAAAAGAGGTGATTTGGAGCACTTTAGTTGGTAATCTCTTTTTCCACTTTTATAGTACCCCAATACAGACAAATGTACTCGTTAATTCCATCGCTACACATACTTTTGGGTAGGTACATGTACTATTTTATTTGGGAATGTATCCTTGGCTCACAAACCACTTGTGTGCATACCTGATGCGCCAGTAATATCCATAGCCTTCAGATTTCTGCACTTGATGACTGTCAATGTCATACGTCCAGCAGTTGGCAAATAACAAAGGGAAAACATGATTTCACCCAGGTCTACGCTTTCCTAGAAAGGCAATTGGTAATGTTAGCAATTTCAAACACCAGAGAGTGGATACAAAATGTAACTGAAGGGGTTAAGTAAAAAATCGCTTTAATAAAATATCTGAATGTCAGTTTAAATTGTTTTATTGAGGATACAAATAACATTGTGAGAAAGCTGTTCCATGTGGAGAAAGAAAAGAGAATATATCCTATCTCAGATACTTACTTAACATCTCTACTTGTATTTCTTTTTAAAAATATATATTTTTATTGATTTCAGAGAGGAAGAGAAGGGAGAGATAGAAACATCACTGGTGAGAGAGAATCACTGATTGGCTGCTCCTACATGCCCCCTACGGGGATCTAGCCTGCAACCTGGAATGTGCCCCCACCAGGAATTGAACTATGAACTCCTGGTTCATAGGTTGAAGCTCAACCACTGAGGCATGCCAGCCAGGCTCCACTTGTATTTTTAACAGGAATCTCAAACTTAATAGAGTCAAACCCAGACTGTTGATTCCACTCATTCCCTATCATCTTCTGAAACCAATGCCTCTGTCGGTCTTTCCATAATCAGCAAATAGTAGCATAATTCATCCAGAAGCTGGAGTCAAAAACCTAGCAGTCACCTTTATTCTTATCTTCCCCTCATGCCTACATCCAACCGATGTCTTATCTACATTATCTACAAAATGTATCCCAAATTACTGAGTTTCTTTTCAACTATATTACTACCATTCAAGCCAGTATCATATCTTACCAGGATTATTTCATTAGTCTCTAAAATTGATCTCCCATTTCAGGAGTTAACCTGCATACAGTGGTCAATGAGGTTATTTATAAATACAAATCAAATTATTTCACTTTCCTACTTAATACCATCTAAAGGCTCATGACTATACTGTAATAAAATTAAAATTATTTACCCTGGCATATAAGTGGGATAACTATAAATCCTGGTGTACCTGGGAAATTCTGGCTTTCTACCTATTGTCTGGTGTAATTATTAAGAACATCCCCTTTAATTCTTATATATGTCTTTGTTTGGACAATGCATTACAAGGTTGTACATGTAGGGCCCTGTGTGATTTGGACCACGCCTATCTCTCTAACTCTATCTCTTGCCTCTCCCCTCAGCTCACTCTGATGCAGATACAAAAGCCCTTTTTGCCTTTTTTCTGTTGTTCAAATGAATTTTGTTCTTGCTTTTGGTCTTGAATTTTCTATTTTGTAAATCTTCACATGGCTGACTCTTTTTCACCATGCAGGACTCAGCTCAAATAGTATCTCTCCTGTGAGGCCTTACCCCTTCCTATTCCACGCTCACCCTACTCACAGATCACTCACATTTTTTTTCCATAGCAGTTATCATCATCAGAAATTATCCTTGAATTGGACTCTTTTTCACCATGCAGGACTCAGCTCAAATAGCATCTCTCCTGTGAGGCCTTCCCCCTTCCTATCCTACACTCACCCTACTCACAGATCCCTCACATTTTTCCCCATAGCAGTTATCATCATCAGAAATTATCCTTGAATTTCACTTTTGTTTCCCTGGTTCCCATATATAAGAGCAGGGTTCTTGTCTGTCTTATTTTTGCATCCCACTGAAGTGGCTGGTGCATAGCTAGCTCTCAGTGCATTTTTTTTGAAGCAATGAAAAGATTATTAAGTAACCTGGATAAAAAATGACCTACTTTGTTTCATTTATAAACTGTCCACAGTGCCCTGATATAGATATATTTGCTGTCATTGGCACATAGATTGTGGACAAATGAAAATGGGTGTGAACAATGCACATTTAGGATGCTTCTCAAAAAGTCATTTACAGGATTTAATCAAATCATTCCTAGTTAAGACAATTTGTGGTGGATTTAATTCAGGGGGAAATAGGTTGCTATGCATTTCGGTCAAAGAAGTAGGCTCTCAAAAATTGTTCAGGAGAAGCTATTATCATTCATTGGACATATTACAGATCAGGTTCTGATTTAGGTATTCCCATTTCTTTATTCATGGTCTAGAAGTGGTAAAGCCAAATAATTAACAGAATAAACTTTGAGTCAGTTAAACTTGGTTTTGACCCCTGTTTTCTGCTCCTCACCTGTGTGAGATCCTACAAAAGTTAATTAGGCTTTGACTCTAGATAAATAAAAAAAATTAATAAGGTGAAGCAATTATTATTTTTCAATCCCGTTTTCTGTTCCTCACCTGTGAGACCCTACAAAAGTTAATTAGGCTTTGACTCTCTGAAACTTAATTTTTAAATTGAGGAAAATGCCCACGCCACAGGGGTTTTAATCAACATGCTCTAAACCAGCGGTTCTCAATCTTTGGGTTGCGACCCCTTTGGTGGTGGAACGACCCTTTCACTGGGATCGCCTAAGACCTGCATATCAGATATTTACATTACGATTCATAACAGTAGCAACATTATAGTTATGAAGTAGCAACGAAAATAATTTTATGGTTGGGTCAGAACATGAGGAACTGTATTTAAAGGGCCAGAGGTTCTTTAAACAAACCCCAAGTTATTTAACAGTATCTGGCATATGTTTAAAGTTGCCATTCATTGCTGTATTGCTATCACATGGAGCAGTGCCTTACACATATCGGGTGCTCTGTAAGTACTGGATAAATAAAAAAATTAATAAGGTGAAGCAATTATTATTTTTCAAGAAAATTATTAAAAATAAGTATTTTATTAAAAAGTTATATCCAACTGGGTCTCCTCTGTGCTATTGGATTGTTGCAGACCCAAAGTAGTGAGCAAGACCTAATAGGGGAGGCCTGCCAAGGATTCATTCTTTTCCTGGGCTCATGGTAGGTGCTATAGAAACCAAGATAGACATGGCAGGATTCTGCCCTTGAAGATCTCAGTTGAAAAGGAAGAGTAGTCTGCAAAGGGCAAATAAAATAATTCTGAATTCTATCTTTATCTGATGATTCTCTCCTTGTTTCACTTTCTATCTCTTTTTCCAAATGTTCCTTTCGGCTTAGTCAAAGGGCTGAAGCTTCCTGTCGGCAGCCATCCCCCTCCTGCACTGGGTATTCCTCCTCCCAGAAACTATCAATCAGAGTCAGCACATTGCGTTGTCAGCTGGTAAAAATTATGAAGGTAAAGTAAGGTATCAAGTTCCACCAAGAAACATGGGGGTGAGAGGTGGTGATGGAGGAGCAAGGAATGAACTAGGAGACATGATCTCAGACATGAAATGCTTGGAATCCAATGGGATGTGCACCAAGTGCAAACTCGAAAAAAGTGTGAAGAGGCAGCTAAAGGGATTCGTAAATAAAACATTTTCATGTGTCTGACTGACATGGATTTACTTTTACACATTAAATAATCAGAGGGAGTAATTTTGTACTTCTCTGGGCATATCACATGCTTACTAGCTGAAACAAAGAAAGTTCATCATGTTTGGTCCTATCTCTCAAAGACCCTTTCTATGGATCCAGATGCAACATAATTTTGACCGTTGTTAACAGGTATTAGTAAACACAGAGTCTAAAGTGAGGAGTTGACCAAAGTACTATCCCAAATATATGAAAAACAAAAAGCATGATCTCTGAGTAGCTCCAAATAACAAGCTAGCTGGCTTTATGCCTAGTACAGTAATAAGAAACCTACTTAAATATTTAAACTACATGTAGTCAGGAGTTGTTGTTTTTTTTAAATTGGAATGAACTGGGTGGTAAAAATTGATTTATAATATGCATCCATGATAATTGCACAAAAGTTTCATTCTTCAGTAGACTAAATGTTCCCGTCAGGAAATATAGCTGTGGAAGAACTAGAACTGCCTACATACTGAAAAGGGCAGAATGCTCTCTAAGGTAAATGCCATTATTCTTCAACTGTTAAAATCTGGAAGCGATCAAAGAGATAATCATGAAAAATGAACTTAATGAAGAAAAATGGCTATGGGACCTTAAAAAAGGTCCTCCAGCAGATGTAGCAGCAGAATTCTGGATTTTGGCCACAGTGCTCTGAGCTGGTGTGCACTGATCCCCACTGCCCACCACCGAGTCTGTCCTGGTTGATGGCCCAACTCCAGGGAGCCGGTCAAGTTCTAATTGCTGCCTCCTCCCACTACGGTTTATAAGGCCACACTCAGTCTCAACAATCTGAATCCTCTGACGCCTAGCAAAGAACCAGGAAATAAGTTGAAAGGTGTTTGAACAACCAGCATAAATATAAAAAGTTATGCAGTAAATAAGCCTCTTATTTAATGAGACTATATCATTTCTTATTCAACACCCATTTGCTATTATTTTAGACAAAATTCTAACTAGAATGTTTACTTAGTATATCAATATATATCAGGTCAAAACTCATGGGAAATGTGGAGGTGGGGAAACTTATAGCATTAGGTCTAGTGGAGATAGAAATAAATGATAATTGCAAAGACGCCATACATATAAAAGAGAAGCCAATATTCTCAAAAGGATAGCAATCTAGGTCATTTTGTATCATGGGGAACTAACATTAATGCCTCAGCAACTTAAAAACAAGAGTTTGTTGCAGACTTGAAAAGAAATTAATATTCAAAATGATGACTCTGAGTCATCAAGCTAAGGGAAAATATCCTAAATGTTCTATTGAAGAAGGTAGAGACATGTACACTATTATTTTACAGTTATTTTTATCCAAAATCCTTAAAATGTTTGAAGTGGTAATTCTGGCTTACAATGAAAAGCTTTGAGTTCTGAAATTTTTACTTATGGGTAATTTTACTTACTGCAATTCTATATAAATATGAACTTTACATAGTAAATTTTAAAACACTGGTATCTTTGGGCAAATAATCATTTGAAAGCTGGCTATAAAGGCTAGGACATAGTATTCTAAGAACTTTCTTTCATTTCAGACACGCTAATGTATTTGGTTGAACATTCACAGAGACAGTCTTCTGGCTGGGTCAGGGCCTGTACATTGGATTTCTTCACCCTGGCTCCACAGACCGAGCTGGGTGAAGGGCTATCGTCAACCTCACAAACGAATGATTTCTTCACCCTGGCTCC